ATCTTTTCAAGAAGGAATCAAGTTGCCAGATGCAGTCCATAGTCAGATCCCCGCTAGTTCTTTTGAAACAGAATACAGAGCCAGGTCATCACAAAATTGCACGGGGAGTGTTCTTGATCACCTTGTATCTCGGGTCAACAGAATAGAAGATTTGATATTGAGGTTTGAGGGAAGTATTCTCGAACCCATAAACAGTATTGATAAGAGGCTCCAGCGAGTAGAGCAGCAGCTTGAAGTGATTGCAAAGAAAAGCCATAACCCTGGTACTAGAATCTCAGCTCCTGAATTTGCATGCGGTGAAGCAGAAGCCAACTCGTTATATAACAGTGGAAGTTTAGATCTCAGTTGTATGGCTTGTGAGGATACGAAGAAGGACCCAGCCTCAGCTGCATCATCTATCCCTCCTGAAGAAAATGTCAATCTGGTACAGCCCAGTCTGGTAGTCAGTACCCCTGAGTTTGATAATGCCGAGGAGGAACAAAATCTCGCAATGGAACCAGTTCCAGAACCTCTCAAGTCTGAGCAGAAACATTCTGTATCAATTGATGATGCTTTGGCTTCAGCATTTGCTGGCTTCTTGTCTTCCACTTTATCACAATGCCAGGACAAGTATTCTCAAACTCTAGCCACGAGAGCTCCCGACTTTCTCAATGAAGATGAAGACGAAAATGACGATGATACGACCTCTTCACCAAAAATACAGTCACAAACTCCAATGGATCCTCTAAATAATGATGAGATTCCAGGTCTCTCAAAGTTGCATCCAGAAAAGACCACAGGCCTTTCAGCTCCTGTCAACGAAACTTGTGGGGCAGATGGCTTTACAGCTTCAGTTTTATCTATGCCCTGTAATAAGAATGTGATTGGATCACTAGATGCTGAAGGCTTCCCGTACATGGAAAGAACACCTATTGGGCAGTGGCAAGATGGTGAAGGGTGTGAAGGTGATACACAGGACGTTGAACTACAGCAGGAAGAGGCTGAAGATCCAACAAGCAATGCTGCTATTGTCCAGCCAACTGAGATGCTAGAAGAGGCATCCAAAGAACAGACTAACCACAGCGATCCATCTCAAGTTGCTGCATTGCGTAAAGTATCTGGTTTCACGCCAGATAACGAACAAGACTCGAACCAAGATGCACTGGAGATCATTCATTTCTCGCGTACCTCTTCTTCAGTAGTTGATTATGAGAAGCCCATACTGGAGGTGAAATTTGCAAGTGGAGAGGGATTAAATGGAGGGTCTCCTCTGCAATCACTTTTGTCTGGGTTTGGTGATGTGGACATTGAAGTTCCTTCAACTCGAGAAACAGACGAAAACACATCTGGACTTGTTGACAATCATGGCGACTTGATTCCGGCAGAAGATTGGGAAGCGGCCGGCTCTACAACGGAGAGCTGCATTTTCTTGGATATGAACTATTACAGCCTCGAAGACGAACAAACGAACACTGAAGCAGCTGAGAACCAGGACGATTGTGAGCCCTGTTACAATCAGGATGGGTCTGCAACAAGCCTCATATAGATAAAATAGCCATTGCGGGATTACATCAGGTCAGATGATGTTAAAGCGGTAAATGCTAGAAGTAGACGTTTGTTTGCACGGAGTATTTATTAGTATTTTTATTTGGTTATTTTGGAGTTTAATTGATAGTTTTAGGGGAATTTTACAATGCTATATAGCAATGGTGGTATAAGTTTTTTCTTTATGGTACAATTTGAAATTGTACCTTTAATATTATGGTACAACTTCAGATTGTACCAATATTTTTTGGGGTTAATTGCATGGTTGGTCACCGAGATTACAAAAACCGTTCAAGTTTGGTCACTTGAAATATTTAAATCCATTGGTGGTACTTCAGTTTACTGAAGCCGTTCATGTTTGGTCACTCTCCGTCCAACTCCGTTAACTTTTGCTGATGTGGCAGTCAACTCTAAAAATTGACCGTTAACTTAGTGATGTGGCAACTAAAAAATTATTAAAAATAAAAAAATAAACTTTTTTTTCCACCTCATTATTACATTCATTAAAAAATAAATAAAAAAAACCTAATTTCTTGTATGACTTCTAGCTCGACGTCGGATCTACCTCGGCGGCTGCTTCCTCCGCTACGAGAATTACAGCTTCTATGCAGAATCCGTCTCCCCCACCATCGACAACTTCACATGCGGAGGCGCCGCCGCCGCCGGAGCGGAATTCGAGTATGCGCAGAGACGCAGAGTGTGAGGTACGCGGTGGCGAATGTGACGAGGAACGCGGCGGTGTCGGAGGGAGTGAGTGGGTTTTTCGGAGTGGCGGAGGTTGGAGGAAGGGCTTATGCACTGGCGCAGTGCTGGGAGAGCGTCGGGAGAGATGGTTGCTGGGAGTGTTTGGGTAAAGCCGCCGCCGCGGTGGTCGGAAGATGTCTGCCGAGGAGGGAAGGGAGAGCGCTGAATGCCGGTTGCTATTTGAAGTACTCCGATCATAAATTCTACGGCGACGGAGGTGTTAGAGTGCATCGTCGCGGTAATTTCAGACTCTTTGAGTCTTTGTTTTTTAAAATTTATATATAATTTTCTAGGTTTTGTTTGTTTGCTGAGAAATCAGAGGGAAAGCGACGGAAAAGAAACACGAAGAAGGGGGAAACGATCTTGAATAACTTAATTAGGGTTTCTTGCAAAATTGAGCATTGATTTTGAGTTGCCACGGCTCTGTTCTGAATTTTCAGGGGATTCAACACTGGGAGTGATAATGGCGATTGCCTTAGCATCAGCAGCATTCGCCATGCTCACACTCTTCGCAGCATACGCTGTCCATCTCAAACGCCTAAAGGCTAAACAAGGTACATACCCAAAAACCATCTCCACAAACTACAAGAGCTACTCCATTTTTTAGCTCCCCCACTTACTAGAAATTGTCACAGCACGCAGAAATCTGGGCAAGGTATCGATAAGCTTCAATAGGTTAAGCATGGACTTCAAGTATGAAACTTTAGAAAAAGCCACTGATTACTTCAGCCTGTCGAAGAAGCTAGGCCAAGGAGGAGCTGGCACCGTTTTCATTGGATCTCTTCCCAATAACCAAACCGTGGCAATGAAGCGGCTGATCTTCAACACAAGCCAATGGGTGGAGGAGTTCTTTAACGAGGTGAATTTGATCAGCGGAATTCAACACAAGAACCTCGTTAAGCTGCTCGGTTGCAGTATTGAAGGACCCGAAAGCCTGCCGGTCTACACGGGTGCTCTGCCTGGACGAGGCCACGACGCCGCCGCGTTCTTCGTCGTGGAAGCCCTCCGCAACGTCGTCCGCGATGGCGGCGACGGGAGGATCGTGGTCTGCTTCCCGCAAGTCTCGTTTTCTAAAAAAATAAAGAAATTAGGTTTTTTTTATTTTTTAATGAATGTAATAATGAGGTGAAAAATATAAAAATTTATTTTTTTATTTTTAATAATTTTTTAGTTGCCACGTCACTAAGTTAACGGTCAACTTTTAGAGTTGACTGCCACATCAGCAAAAGTTAATGGAGTTGGACGGAGAGTGACCAAACATGAACGGTTTCAGTAAACTGAAGTACCACCAATGGATTTAAATATTTCTAGTGACCAAACTTGAACCGGTTTTGTAATCTCAGTGACCAACCATGCAATTAACCCATATTTTTTGTACAGATTCTTTTATGGTACAACTTAAAGTTGTATCTTATGTGATGGTACAACTTCAAGTTGTAAAGTTGTACCATAACATAATGATACAAATTGCTTTATGGTACAACCTAAACTTATACATTTAATGTTATGGTATAGCTTTAAGTTGTACATTAAAGCACCAATGCTATATAACATAGTAGAAGTGCTCTAGTTTTAGTCCTTATTAAATAAGTCTTATGTCTACTTAATTTGAGACTTGTTTTCATATTTATAGGAGGTTAGATTTATGATTTTTTGACCTCTATGGATATAAGACCTTCCAATTTTATAACTAATATTCAAGATTTTACCAATCAATTAAAGATTTTAACTCAATTCTTACCAATCCCGACCAAGGTGCCAAGAACTTGAGATGTTGCAATGAGCTATGAAAAGCTCGATGCTAACTATCCTCCTACTCCTCTAATTAGGTCAAGTGTAACTTAGTCAGGCGATGTAGCACAGCGGTCAAGTCTTGGCTTCCATCATAAGTATTTCATATGTAAAGAAAAAAAAACCACATATACCTCCAAAAATCATATTAGAACCTTTTTTTTATCTCACCAAAAGAAAAACCTTTTTTTACCTAACATTAGTTAACAACAAGCTGAAATTCTTGTGTTTGTTTTCAAAAGATAATCATATATTGATTCAAAAAATAGATAGCTACATCCTGGAATTCTGCCAGATCTGGAAATCAAAGAAACGAATCGTAGTCGGGTACAAAGAAAATATCTTTTTAGCCACCACATGAGCTACCCTATTACTACGCCGACCTACAAATCGAACACTAAACCGAGAATGGATGGCAAAGTAATGCATGATTTCTTCAAGAATAGCCCCCATCCGGTTATCGTTGGTATTAGCCCGATTAATCTTGTCGATGATCACTTTGGCATCGCCTTCAAACCTTATTTCCGTGAAACCGTGGCCCAGACACCATAAAATAGCCTCTCGGAGCACGAGCAATTCGACCACCATAGGGTCATCAATTAACGGAAATTGAATTCCATTAACCATAAGAATATCCTTAACTGGGTTCATAATAACTGTCTCGCCTGCCGAGTAAGACCCACACCTAGTAGTGTCATCCCACATACAAGATAAATAGGAAAAGAGAGAGAGAATCAAAGCCAATTGGATTTGGGCTAGTGTATCACAACATACACGTCTACTAATGGACCTTAATGAGTAGAAAACAAGCCCCCCCATAATACCAGGACTTTTACCCCATAATCAAACATTCGAGAACTACATTATACAATAACAAAATTGATTCATCAATAAGCTAACCAACAAAATGAAAATGATCACAGGATCATAATACTTTCCAGTCAATTGGGAGAGCACAGGGGAGTAACTATCCCTCTTCTAGTTAAGTCCACGCTCACACAAGAAGCTTCCACATACTCAGGCCGTTGACTTGCTAGCGAAACATCCTGCATCACTATCTCATGGCACCGCACACTCTTGCTGCACTCCAAATTTATTGCCACCTTTGAAGCGCTTGTTCCCTTTATGTTCTTGTACATCACATTGCTCACTCGCACAGCTGATGCCTGCTCACAATAAAAACACCACATTTTATCTTATTAAACACGACTTTTTTTTGCTCTCTTAATTTGTAGTCGATTGGGTACCTGTTCGTGACATGGTTCGTCTCGATCGCAGTAATTTTGATCTATGATAATGGGATTGGTCACGTTGTTCATCGCTATGTTTTGGAACTGTATGTTTCTTGCATAACCTGATCCTCCCTGCCACACAGTAATAAGATATAAGAAAGTGAGGAAATCTACACACAAAACCGTGTTCATGTGTGTTATTCCTTATTTGAGCCTAAAACTTTGTGAGAATCTATCTTTGGAAAATTAAAGGGCCATTCTCAACAAGTAAAGAAGAAAAAAAATATATATCGAAGGGTTTTGGCAAAGTGAAAAGAAGATGAAGATTTGGTAAATTTCCCAATAGTCATCGATGAATGGACGGTTTGAATTTTATATCAACTTGTATAAGGAAAAGTAGTCCAACATTTATTTAATAAATTGTCCAAACTTTTGGTACTTTGGAATAAAATACATTCCTAAAACTATGCTCATAATAATAAAAAAATCAATCCACTTATTTTCATTCATCTTATTAAACAAGGTAACTGTTCACTAAAAAAGATTTAACAAACAAACAAATATGGAAGTAGACCTAGCTAGTGAATAACTCGGATATACATAATCCTACACAATCATGAATCTACAGTTTATTATAGTCTTTTAATATGGACTGTAAAAAAAATATACGTAAAGACAAGAAGTGAGAATATTGTGTTAAGACTTCATACTATCATCTCACCATGACAAAAAGTATTTCATTGTTTTATAAAATAATATTTATTTTGTAAAACATGTACGTTTGGACTAGTTAACCACCACAGTTGTATCTGTATCGACCACTACGCTATAATTTTGTATACCATCATGATACAATATAGCTTATATGACATGTGATATAAGGATTGAGCAAAACTAAATAATTACAGGATCAACAATTGGTGTCCTATATATTAAAGGAGGTAAGATAACTAGCTAATTAAGTTCATGAACTATTGGTGGATAGTTCATATTATTCTTTCTATTGGGCAGATGGGAAAAAAAGGAGAGAGTGAGTAGGTAGGATGCGGTTTACCTGCCAAGTCTTGATCCTGACCCCGTTGCTCGTTCCTGTAAGGATTGCTCTATTTACTACCACATCTGAGACCTGAGCTCCTGAATTTCCAGCTCCTAAGCTCCCAATACTTTCCATAAAAACAAAAGGAAGAAAGTAGTTTCACTATATGTATGTATGTATCGTTCAGTTTGGTAGGAATTCAGTTCAGTTTGATTTGTAGTATCCAACCTTATTCCGTGACCAGGTCCGCAAGTTATGTCCGTGGCTTTAACGTTTCTGGACCCGCTTACTATTGAGATACAGTCATCGCCTGTATTTGACGCAAAACAAAACAAACCAACATTAGGGTTTGACCAATAGTGGACTAGTAGTATATATATAGTGTACTAAATCTATCATTTGCTTAGATTAGTAGGGTCCAAGTAAGCAATCATGTGTTGGTAGGAAGGAAAAATGGAATTAAACCCGTTTTGATGACACATCGGCTGATTTGAATATTTTGAGTGGCGGTGACGTGGATGCCATCGGTGTTAGGGCTGTTTTCTGGAGCGGCCACGAACAGCCGCACGACTTTCACGTCCGCGCATTTATCAAACGAGACGTGCATCTTCTGTGAGTTCCGAAACTTTAAGTTCGATACGATTATATTGTTGCACTCGTAGAACGTGACCGCCTGCCCACAAATCAGATATGTATATGAACACAATATGTCATTATCTCATTGTAAAGTGTTAAACCAAACAAGGCAAGGGTGGTGGTACTCACATTTGGTGCATCTTTGCAGGGCTGCAGTGAATTCAAAGAAACGTTCAGAAATTAATTAGTGTAAATATCTTCTTTTTATATGGGTAGTCCATTGGACTGTTGACTTATATGGAACGTTATGATATACATATATTAACACTAAAGGGCAATAAGTAAAATAGAGAGAGAGATAGGGGTGACATTAATAAAGTTGTAACTTACAAGTCTTGTATTGACTTTGCAAGAGTTTTGCCACCAAATCTGGCCATTCCCGTCGATAGTTCCACCACCCTTAACTCTGAAATTTTGGAGGCTCTCAAACTTTATCCAGTGTCTTCTGTCATTTTCGTAGTCTTTCATGTCTCTAGACGCCTTAATCGTGCCGAAAATCTGAACCACACGTGTACGTAATTTTGCGATCAGGAAAAAAAGAAGAAGAAAAAAAAGAGCGCGACTTCGTCGTCTATAATTCTCAGTAAATGAATTGTGGTGAAACCTGAAACATGATATTATTAGCTCGGCAAGGCCCTGCAAATGTGATGGGTTTGAGTAGGTAAATCTTCTTCTTAGGAACCGCAAATACAGTAGTTGGCCCTGTAGATGAACAAGCTGCCTTCCAAGCCTTTTCAAATGCCTAACCAAAAACCCACCAACTCAAATTCATTCAGAACCAACCGTAATTCACCCAAGTTCTTCTTTTTTTTTAAGAAGAAGAAAAAAAAGGACCTAGCTAGTTAGCTAGCTAGAGATGTTTATTTGATATTACCTGAGTGTCATCCCACCTTCCATCACCTTTGGCTCCAAATCTATCTACGTTAACAATCTTCACTCTCACAGGTCTCCTGCTTGAAGCATACAATTGGCTGTTCTGAGGGTACAAGCCAAAACAGGAAACCAAAGGGAAAGAAGAAGAGGCTAAAATGAGGCAGAAAGCAGCTGGAACCCAAAATCCTAGTGGGTTTGGTAACATTGTTTTTTTATATAAATATTTGCTGTGAGTTTTCAAAGAGAAACAACAGGCAAGAGATATGATTTTGTGAGGGAGATGTTTACCAAGTTTAATGTGGTCTGGAGACGATATATATACACACTGAAAAAGTTGGGGGAAGTTCCTCTTTGCAGTTGGCAGGCAGAAATTTGACTAAGGTTTGGAGGAATGCACTTGCATTAGCCATTGGCTTTGGACAAAAATTGCACACACACAAAATGGGTGATCATTGGAGGCAGTGTTTAGGTTTTACTTTTAACCTGGAATTTGAGACCCAATTGAGTTGTAGCTAGCTCACAGAAGTTTCTTATCCACATTTGACCATCAAATTTTAAGTAACGGGTATATAACTATATATATATATATATAAAATAGTTGAGATTCAATGATGCATATCAATAACTAGTGAATGAATACTATAATTAGATTGTAATTGATTTAAATTTTATGTGCACAAATATTTGAAATCCGAATTAAAATCAATAGGAATGTGACTTTATAAAATAATAATGGAGAAAATTTTACCTAATTATGGTTTCTTATTTACTACTGATTAGTGTTAAAACCATAACAAAACTAGAGCTGTTATCTACTTATCTCCTCTCTGCCTCCATGTATATATAGCATATGTACGTAATATTATACTTCGTACCACCATGCTATAAATTTTATACCACCGAAGTATTTTATTTTCAAAATATATCAAAAGATGTTATTTTGTAGATCATAAATTAGTCCAATTTTCATATGCTAAAAAACCTAAAATTTGAGTTAAAACGAAAGAAAAGTATCAGTTGAGAATGAACAACAAAGTGATTCAATAAAAAAAAAACAGAGTGATTAGGTTTTATATAGGAATTAATTACGGTCTAAAGGTATGAATTAATCCGTTGGTTGGCTAGCCGCCGACTTTCTATAGCTTCAAAATTTGATTGAAATGTATAGATAAATTAAACGTAGTTAATTAACTTACTGTATGCCTTAAATCTTAATTGCTTTCGTAGAATTGAATTTATTGGGTAATGTATACAAGCAAACAACTGATGTACGTTTCTTTTTAATCCCTATTCACTTTTATTTTTGTTTCCTGTTTTCTGATTTCACTTTCATTTTTGTTTCCTGTTTTCTGTTTACATGTCATAAATTTGGCAATCGAAACAAGTTTAAAACTTGTTTATATTTCATTTTGTTTTCTATTCGTTTCCAACTATGAAAACAAAAAGTGGCAACTTCCTGCTGTTTTCGGAAACGACAAAGTGTTGTTTTCACCTGTTTTCAATATCTGTTTTCTAAAAAACAGGAAACAGAAATGAAAGTAAACAGGCCCTAACTAATATGGTTATCATGGTAATTATCAAATTAAATAAGTCTAAATTTTATTAACCATGAAATATAATATTATAACCAAACCGTCCAAACTAATATCATAACCAAATTAACCAAACTAAAGCTTAATCAGTTTGGTTAACCAGATTAACCAATATAACATCACATTCTCGTTAAGCGAGAAAAATTTCTGGTTAATGTGTCAATTTGAAATTTATATCATGAATAAAATATAACAATCCACACATATTTATAATTAATCTTTAACATAAACACATACAACTAATACAATGGTATATCATGGGGTTAATGAATTGTTGTGTTTGTGTGAATTGACTTAGTCTCTTAGGCCAAGTCCAATGCAAAACCCCAAATTTGGGGGCCTTCATCCCCAAATTTGGGGATTGATCCCCATTTTCCCTCTTTTGCTCCAATGCTTCAATCTCCATATTTGGGGATTTTCATTTTTCTAGTTTTTCCATTTACTTATAAATGTACTTATCGTAGCATTAATATAATTTATTCATGTTAATTTTTGTATAGTTCGTCATCATTTTTAAATACAAATTTTTCGATAGAATTTTGTTAAATTCCGAGTCCGAATTTTTTTGGCAAAAAATTATGTACCTAATTTGGGTTTACACACAACACTTGAAAATGATTGATCTAATTAAATTCTTAACTAATCCCCTAATTAAAATCCCAATTAACCCCTAAAATCTTAAAAAGAAAAAGAAAAGCCACGTGGCGGGCTTTGGTGAGTCTCTATATTTGGGGGATCCCCCATTTCCATCCCCAAATTTGGAGTTCCATTTGCAGGATCCTCCATTTTTGGAGGCCCAAACCTCCCCATTGGACCATCTCCTCCTTCATTTTTGCAGATTCCCCCATAAATGAGGTGCCCATTGGACTCAGCCTTAGAAATTATCATAGGTTGAAAAAGACCTAACTTTCAAATTTTCATCGAATATAATGTATGAGTTTTATCTAGATTAGGCGTACATAGTCGTAGTCTACATTCTACAAATACAAAAATACAACATAGGAACAGTATTGAACTTTATTTTTCATGAATCTAAAAGGAGAAATGTTTGGTTGTTGAGTTGTTATGCAAGTTATTACGTTTTTTTTCTCTCTTGTGGTGGAAACAAATTATTATGTTTGTATAATATATTATATATAGCTAATTACTTAACTGCTTAATTTAGTTTTAGTAGTTAGGAGTATCTCAAATCAAACCAAATTACATAAACCAAATAAGCTAAAAGATTTAATCAAATCAAACTAATTATTCAAATTAACCAAATTAGATTATACTAATACTATCTATTAAAACAATTATCATGGCAACCACTCTGTTTGAACACCCTTAATACATACTAGATAGAAGTTATGTTTAGTAAGGAGACACTTAGTGAACAACTAATTAATGAAACAACAAAATACCAAAAGGTCTTCAATAAAAGAGGAATGAGTAATTACTCAAATAAGAACGTCTTTGCGTTTAATTTACTGCAAGAAAAGACATCTTAATGGGGCGAGGTGATTTCGGTAAGCAATTTATGGAAGAAATTAGGTGACAAGTGTTAGTGCAATGTAGCCGGTCTTAATTTCGTGTTAATTGTGTTTGACTTCGGTGTAACTCCACTGAAAAGAAAGAAACAAAGAACTACTAATGAACCAAGGACTCTGAAACAAGAAGGAACATGGAAGAGGAAAAGTGGAAAAGTAATTTCTTTTGGCCTCCAAAAATTCTGTGTTGGACTAAGTGGTAACTTTTTTCCATCAAGCACAAAGGCATGATTCAACGGAAAGAAAGTATAAAGACATGAGATATAGACTCGACATGAATATAAGACCGACTCAAATACTTTATGTTAGTCCGTATACAACCAGATGCAGGGTTGGTTATAAGATTTTGGGGACCCTGTTATTTAAAAATGTTATTCAAATTATTTTTCCTAAAAAATCTAATAAAATATAAACAAAACATTAATGAAATCATGACATTATTTAAAAATAATATCTATCTAATATGATTTGAAATAAAGAGTGACAATTGTTTAAATAGTAAGTTGTTATAAAAAATCAATTACTTTAGAGAATGAATAAAAAAAATCCAAATCAAAGAATCAAAATAATAACTAAATTGATAAATTAATTAACTAGACTCACCTGAATATGTAATTAGAACTTAATTGAGTAGAAGATGAAAATAATTTTAGAAGTATCAAATAGTATAATCAAATAATAGAGTAAGTCGTTTGGAAGTTGCGATTGTTAAATAGATGTATTTGTTGAGAATGCATGTATAATATTATACATGTATTGTCGAATTTGATGCATTGTAGAATACAACGTTTGGTATGTGTGATTGTGTATGTCGCATCAGCTAAAAGCTGAGACAAAACAATCTCAACTCAACTATCTCAACAATCACAACTAAAAGTTGAGATATAACAATCACTCAAAATGAGTGATAGTTTCTGTCACATCACAGAAACAATCCATGTATTGTTTCTGCTAAAAAAAATAAAAAAATGATGCATTGTAAACAATACATGCATAATGACAATCTCAACAAAACTATCGCAACTTCCAAACGACCCCTAAAATAAATTGGACATGAGAAACGGATAATTTTTTTAGTCTACAAACTATTTATAATTTGATTTAGTTATGTTTAATTTTCTACTATTGGTGGCTTGTACCTAATTATTTTGGTTAAAGTTTAATAAATCAATGCATATATTTAAATAATTTAGCATTGCTGTGTTGCTATTACAAGCAGATTAATTGGCGAAAATGAATTATTTTCCCCCTTGGAAAGCTGAAAAATAATGAAAGTTCAAGCGACAAATTTAGTAATGCTAATAATGAGACATCAACAATCTTACCTCTTTTATTCTATTTAGGAAACACACAACAAAAAATGAGTTATGTTATATGATTTGAAAAAAGTCTAATAAGAAATCAAGTATTCCCCTCGGGGTCAGAAGAGCTGGTTTTCCTCCTGATCATCAACTCAACTTTCATGTCTTTGTAGTGAATGAATTCGTGACTATGGAAGGAAGATGGTGTAGGTTCTTATAGGAAGAACAATCATAGGGTCGCTAAAACACATTAGAAGCAATCATAGCACAAATTAAAGATATTATGACAACAATGATAGGAAATGTATGAACTTTGGATTATAATACGGGGATCTAGAATAGATAATTATACGTGTCATCAGTATTGCAGGATTCAAACTCGAGAAAGCCATAACAATCCATACAAGGATATACCAAAGAGAAGGAGCGTTACTCGAAGAAAGGTGAGCTTCCTATATCTATTCGAGTACTTTAGGACAAATGCTTCAAATATCGAGGAAAGGAACATCAATCCTACACTACATTACTATGAAAAAAGGATTCATGTCAACGAAACAGTAAGAGAATGCATATAGAAGACTTGATGCTACTAAGAGTGACTTGTGGAGATTACCCCACTATAGAGGACATGGAGCAAGCTTTCAAAGTTCTTGATGCAAGAGGCAAGATCAATTCAGAACCTCCTACGAGCATCAATGCTAGCATCAGTGATAAAGAGCTAAAGCAACTGCAAGAAGATGTTCAAATCATCAAGGAACATCCTGAAGCCAATAAAGGACAGTC